ATACAGCTCCTCATGTTGTGGTGACCCCCAATTTCATTGTTACAAATTGAACATAATTAAAACATAGTGATTAATCACAAAAACAATATGTAATTATATATGTGTTTTCCGATGGTCTTAGGCGACCCCTGTGAAAAGGTCGTTCGACTCCCAAAGGGGTCGCGACCCACAGGTTGAGAACCACTGTTCTAAGGGATTTAAGGATGTAGATCTTAGGGGAGCTCCCAGGGGAAGATCTCAATAGAATATTGGACAGCTTTCCAGTCATGTCCTTTTTGGGTCAGGGTCTCCACTGATTGGTTGGCATCAGGAGCAAGGGTCATTAGTCAATGTAGCTGGTCCTGAGGTTAGCCATAGCTAGTTTTGCTGCTTTTCTGGGCCTGGAGCTGAAATACAACTAAGGCCTATATTGTTGCCAGGGAAGAAAGGTCAGGTTTCCAAACCCATGACCAGCCATATGCTAGGGAGGAAAGGTCACTCTGGGGACAAGGTCACCCTGGGGAGGAGGTCCCACGTTGTAGTTGTCCTTTGCTAGGCATCCAGGGCTTTCCGCCCTAGAGACCTTCTGTACCTGGCTCATCATCCTTGCTCTTCTCACATCTGTCTACTGCCTACCACAAATAGTCATTGCTTGAATGTTGAAAGAAACAAATGAACAGTGATTAGAATATGAGGAAGGCTACCCAAGCTATGGGAATTTAACAAAATGGAAAGCAACAGCCCACTGGAAAATGCACAGACCTAGCCCAGGGTTTTAATCCAAATTCAAATATTTGCAACTTCTGGATGTTAAACACATAACTGTGCTCAATTTCATTATGAATGATGATAATTTCCTTCATAGTGCTGCCTTGAGGATAAAGTGAGAATGCAATTAAGACACTTACCAGGCTCTCAATAGATGATCAGTATTGTTACTATTCTAAGTTTTTCAGATAAAATGATAGTAAACCAACCTATGTATTGGACTCGAACATAAAAACAACACACAAAACAATATTTTTCTCATTAGCCATATTATGGGAAAGCCATATTTAATCCCTCTGAATTCTCAGCCCACATAAATCATTTAAGTAGCACTTCATTAGGAATGGGAAGGCCATTGAGAGAAGCCAGGATACTTCCAATCAAATTTTCCATCATCTGCCATCTGGCTTGATGAGTTGCACTTCCAATGTGAGGTGTCAGAGTGACATTCTTCAACTTCAACAAAGGATGATCTCTGAAATACAGATGGGGAAGGCTGCAGGAGGCTTATAGCATACTCTAAATTACACCTAGGTATGACCACCATTCATCTAACCCTAGTATGAGGAACCTTACATTTTGTGGTGCAAAACACATATTCTAACTGCATCCAGGCCATTAGCACATAACAGCACAACATGCATGGTGGATTAAGTGATAGATCAATGGGCCCCCAGACAGAATAGGGCATTAGGGTCACAGGTGCTGGTCCTGGGTCATAGGACAAGCAGAATGTACCTTTGATAAGGAGTGGCATCCAGAGGGAAACTAGCAGATTAGAGGGAGTTTTTTCCCAGGAAGAAGGCAAAGGATGAGAGTCAGCCTGGAAAGATGAGGTTTTTAGTGAAGTGGGTCAGGCAGACTAAACATAACGATGGATAACACTAGAACCCAGCATTGGGAAAGGGCTGTAACCTGACCAACCAGGGACTCCTGACTATTTTAATAGACAGAGGCCATAGTAGCCATGTGACCATCCTAGCTATTGAGGTTCAAGGGGCACACACTTGGGACCTATGGACCTTAAACCCTATGGAAGTTCTTTGGGGGCACTTGTCACGATGACTGCCCCAGTCCCCAGGACTGATCCACTTAAGGCATATCCTGAAGTACAGCTGGCAGGGATAAGAACTTTTCTGAAAACACTTGTCCTCCCCACAGGCAGGAGGTGGGCCCTGCTCTCTGACAGCACATGTTAGAAAACGCAGAGTGACTGGCTTTGTCCTAACTGATTTGGAACCCAGAGATAACTGACTCATGACCAATTGTAACACCTGTCCATAATAATATCTGGGGTAGAGGCCAGAGCCAATTTTTTGTTTGTTTTGCTAATCTTAATCCTAGGATATATTTTTTTCTATTGATTTTTAGAGAGAGTGGAACGGAGGGAGGAAGGGAGAGAGAGAGAGAGACATCAATGTGAGAGAGACACATTGATTGGTTACCTCCCACATGTGCCCCAACTAGAGCTGGGGGTCAAGCCTTCAACCCAGGTTACGTGCCCTTAACTGGGAATCAAACCCACAACCCTTCAGTGCGTGAGCGGATGCTCTACCACTGAGTCATACAAGCCAGGGTGAGGCCAGAGCCAATTTTGTTGAGAAAGCATAGAAAATACCTGTTACTGATTTGTTATGTGATGAAATTGAATAATACCATACCCATATTGTGATATGGTGTAACACTAGCATTGTTGATAGAATTTAACTACCTCATGCAAATAAGTCATATGATAATACTGATATTATTGATCAATTGTATTGGGCGATTGAGTTAAAGCCCCCTCAGAATATGATACCAATGGGAAATGACTGGCCCAAAGAAAAACTAGATTTAGCTAAATAGCGGCTAATTTATTCACTAATAGTACCGCATAAGTTCATCATAAGTTACAAATAGTGGTAGATCAATGGGCAAACAAACTACTACAAAAATACAAAAATGCATGTAATGGCTTTATAGGATGGGTTAGCTGCTGCTTAAATCTATCCCTGCCCCAAACTGGCTCTTCCAAATGTTAGGCATAGTCATACTGATACTCTGGCTGTATCTGTTATATAAAAACTATAATAAATGTTGATGCTTCAATAAATGTGATTGTTTTGCTGTAAGACAGCCTAGGTCAAGGATCAGGGAATGGCCCATGTAGTAAAGGATTAACTCAGCAAGCAGGCTTAGAGTGCTCAAACCTGCACACTCCAAAGATAGGCTCCTGGGAGATAACCTCTGAACGCTTGAGATATACTGCCTATATGACTGTCACCTTATCCTTGGGACCTGGAGCACCGCAAGATAGCTTATGCTAACAATGGTATTTGTGGTGAATGCCTGTTTTTGCTCACTTGGTATCCTGGCCCACTCTATGTCATTGTAACCTCTGGAGAGGCTGGAGACTAAGTCACAAATGTCAGACATGTGGGCACTCCATGCCTATGTGACCCCTTGACACTGAGGCTTGGGTGTGCTGTCAAACACCATTGCTGGAGTGACTACTATCCATACAACTCCACTGAGAGAGGACAACTGGAAGCTCACGCCTCCTTTCTCCTGGACTCCACCTGATGCACTGGTTACTTTTGCTGATTTTAATGTGTATCCTTTCACTGTGATAAACTGTAAGTGAGAGTATAAAAGAGTTTCTGAGTTCTGTGAGTCTTTCTACCAAATCATTAAGCCTGAAGGTTATCTAGGGGGCTCCTTACACTATTGGTGAATGAATTTTTTCTTTTAAAAATAATCTTGTGCCGAAACCGGTTTGGCTCAGTGGATAGAGCGTCGGCCTGCGGACTCAGGGGTCCCGGGTTCGATTCCGGTCAAGGGCATGTACCTGGGTTGCGGGCACATCCCCAGTGGGGGATGTGCAGGAGGCAGCTAATCGATGTTTCTCTCTCATTGATGTTTCTAGCTCTCTATCTCTCTCCCTTCCTCTGTGTAAAAAATCAATAAAATATATTTTAAAAAAATAAAATAAAAATAAAAATAATCTTGTAGTAAATCCTGTGTAAGGCAAAGAATACTTATGCAGTATGATTAAATAATCCTAAAAATCCTTTTTTTAACAGTAAGCAACAACAAAATGTCTCTCCCCAAAAATCAAGATGAAACGTCAAGTCTGTCTTATAAAGATAATATAGAAATTAGAAATTAATATGGATGTGTAAAGATTAAATTATTCATAAAATAATTGCTGAATCGCATAGCCACAAAAATCATTTCACATGGGACACTGGGAGCACCACCTATTGGAATAAATTGAACTTTGGGATATAACCCTGGTAGTTGCCCTGTGACTTGTTAGTGAATCTAATAAAAACCTCATTTTAGCAGACTAGACAGTAGGGGTGATCACAT